CCCCCACACACACACACATTCCTCTGTCCTTCTGTCTCAGCCATACATTACACCAAGCATGTGTGACACACATTTTGGTGTCTTGATTTGGCTCCTCTTAAGGAAGCAACACATTTCTCCCTTTCTCTCCAGTATCCCCTTTTGGCTCATTCCGTCACTCTTAGTTTTCTGTTTTTGAGAGATTGAGAACTTCAGCTTCTGTCAGGCAGCGGGTAAGAAATTTGAAGACCAGTAGAGGGAGGTGGGGGGGGGGGGTCAGAACAGCCTTGCAATGGATGTGCCAGACAGAAAAACATAAAATGCAAATACATACCTATATATATGTGTGTATATTCACACATACACACACACACACACACACACACACACCCCTACAATGCTCCCTTGTTAAGAAATGAAATCTTCTTTAAGAGCGATGGAAATGGCTTGAGTCAATGTCTGCCCACTGAGTGCATGCAGTGCTACTGCCGCACAGGAATCAAATCCCAATCTTCTTAAAGAAAAAAAAAAAAGTCGCCTTCATTAACTCACACTCCCCCCATATATCTGCCGTTGGAATTCTTCATTTCAGCACCTCGTCACATTAAGCTGTCTCTCAGTCCTAGAAAGCACATCTTAGTAGCCCGACCCCTGCCCCACATAGCCTTTCATTCACCGCTCTCTATCAGTGACTGCCTGACAACTTCAAATCCGCTTTTAGCGGCCATCTTTCCAATGCTTCATAAGGTTTTACGTGAGCTCGGACTCTTGTTCAGAATAATTTAAGTAAGCATGTATCAAACCCCTGCTGTGGCACTCCACACCCCCCACCCCCCGGCCCCCTTCAAACTATGTCTATAACTTAATGTACGGGTCAACACTTGATATTCTAGAAAAGAAAAAGTGGCCTTGTCCTCATACCCGTCTCACCGCACATGACAGCTTGAGTCTGTGAGAGCTGTTGTGATCGTTCACCCGGCGAGTGACAGATGATGTCATCACTTCACGACCAATCCCAGTGGCATGTAGTTTGTTTTCGTGTTTGGTCTGTTCCATCAAGGCCAGCCAGTTTAAGTCACCTCAGCCGCTGTAACACCCCTGCTCATTTTTGTGCCATGATAGATTAAACCCACTGTAATCCCGCTGAGCCCAGAGCCCTGTTGGATATTTATGGTAATAAGTAAACATATGAGTGAATAATCTAAGAGGCTGCCTGTGGACAGCTGGAAGTTGTAATTCCTCGTATTTGGCACGGGCTTTACCATTAAAAGAAGCTGCTATTTCCAGGGAAAATAGTATCCATGATGACAGAGGACCTTGTGTACGAAATATGCAAAAAACAAAACACAAACAACAACAAAAACTACAAAGAGTCGTATCAGTAAATCTGTTAATAAAATGATGATTATATATTAAAATGCGCTTTCAAATAAAATGTTAAGTACAGTATATCCAGGGACTGCATTTTAGGCCAAAGCCTCATTTGGATTCTGGGAGGATTCAGGTCAGACAGAGAGGGATGTGATTAGATTGGAGTCTTATTTGGAGAAGGAAAAAAAGTGTCGGGCTTGCACTCGTGGAGTCATTCGACCAGTCAACAAAGCAAGCTGTTTATTCTGGGCTTCACTTATTTATATATTATCTTTTGGGAGAACCCACTTCCCAGTCCCGACAGATCTCTTTAGTAGCAACCAATCAACCTCCGGCCCCTCATCTCCTCTTTTCATGAGACACCGCGGCTGGAGCTCATTCCTTCGGGATGAATTTATCCAGATTGAAGCACTCAGCGAAAGGGCATTATCCCGGATTACATGTCTGTAGGGTGGCAGAGTTAAGTAATTCAACCAGATGCTGTTGTGATCACCGCGTCACCTGCGAAGGCATGGCAAGCATCTGCAGGACATCCAGATGTTTACGTTTCGCATCAACAAGACTTGCTTGGAAGACACCGAGCAAGGTTAGATATTTTAAAGACACTAATATACGGAAAACCGCATTGACCTCATTCAGGATTTTATTTGAGATGGATTAAAATAAGGATTAATGACTTTTAAATTGCAGTTTAATTCACAGGCAACAAACTCTGTTTATTCCTTCAGATGCGGTCAAATGCGTTTGATGGTGCTTGCGTGGATCCAAATGACCTCTGTACTGTTGCCCTGTGTGCTAAGTGCTCGTCTAGCGTGCCCGTGCCGCCCACACACACACACACACAAACACAGTTTTCTTGTGACAACTTAGACTTGGATTCTTAGACTCAACTTTGCAATTGCCTATTCTCCCACTAAGTGCTCCACAAACAGGCGACTCTGTTTTTTTCAATGTCATTACAATTGAAGTGGCTCTTCTCGGAAAAGTGCACGCCAGTGTCATAAAACTCATCAAAGCAAACAACATCTATGTTTTGTGCCAAGCTTTCTCCTGGATTGCAATGAATAGAAAGCTTTACAAAGAGAACTATTTGCAATGCCCCTACCCAGATGGATGGCTATACATTCCCGATTTTAGTAACATCGGAGCAAACTTTTACCTGTTGTGTGCAGTTTTGCGACTTTTGAAAATCAACAAGGCAATGTATCGGCATTTCTATAAAGGCGTGTGTTGGGGGACAGCCAAGAAGATACATGTGGTGCTTGAGTGCAGGAGGCACTTGAGAAATTGGGTTGCTGATCTTATAATGACTTCGCAGGGTTTGGA